CCCCAAAACCCCAAAACCCCAAAACCCCAAAACCCCAAAATATTCAAAAATAAATTTATAAAATGGAAGATAGTAATCAATCAGACGATACTCTTGAATACGATAGCACAGAAGAATTTATCCGTAAATTCATACCCAACTCAGTTTCTTCCCTCGAAGGTACATGTCAATCTCATTCATAGGTTGGAAAGATAACCCTGTTTCAAAAATAAAACCAGAAGAATGGAAGAATATTCCTCGCTGAATTAAGGATGGTTTCAAAAATGTTATCCTCGGCTGTATGCTGATCTATCAAAAGTTTAAAACAGAAGATAGCCGATTCAAATAAGCTAGAAAACTCTTTTCAGTTACATAAGAAGGCCAAATATAGCACTGATAGAGATCTCAAAGAGCGAGAAAAGAAGACAAATATTGCAATTGATAATTTTAAAGCCAAAGTTGAAATTTCAATGACTCGCAATGAAGATTTCATAGTAAATATTAGAGAGAAAACAAATGAGAAGCTCCAGCAGATGCTTGAAGATATTGAACAAATAGAGCATCTCAAGAAATGGGTCACTGAGACTATTGAAGGTAATTATCATCATAAAAATATAGAAACTAACAAAAAGAATAAAGCAAGGGATCAAGAGTTAGATGCTTACAAGCAGTCTCTTGAAGATCAAATAAAAGAAACTCAGAATAAGCTTGATAACCAAAAGTATGTTTCAAATCTCATAAAATAGCATATACATTCATGAATTTCAAAAAGAGATTGATGGGATTATTTTTAATTTAAAATAATTCACAAGAAAAATTGCTCGAATCAAAATCTGAATTACTTCAAACATCCATTACCAACTCCGAGGAACAAATTAAGTCGATATCTGAGTCTTTGACTACTCATAACTTTGATATTACTCAATTGAAGAAGATTCAGCCTTCTCTAGAATTCCAGATTTCTGAACTTAAGCATAACCTCTCACTTGAAATCGACCACTCAATGTCAAGGGTTGAGCCAAAAGTGTAAATAACTTGATTAAAATTCAAAATAGAACAGACTTGATCAAAAAGATGGAGTTTCTAAGCTCTCAGCCAACTGGGAACTCCCTCCAAGAGACCCTCAAACAGTGTCAAGTAATGATTGAGCAGCTAAAGATTTCGATCACTGAGAAAGAGTAACCAAAAATCTATTATTTTAGAGACCAGATGAACGAAAGTGTAGATCAGAAAATAGGTATCAACTTATGCTATTTTATAGAGGATACTGATAAAAAATTCAGGAAAATAATATACGAACTTAAGAACAAAATTCAAAGGCTTAAGAAAGTTCAAGAGTAACCTTAAGGAGAAATCATTTTAGAGCATCAGCATCCCCGCTTAAGAAACCTCATGATAGTGACCATAAGAAGGAAAAATCACTAAATTCTATAACTGGTTTATCAGAAGATAGACACAGTAGTTTTAACATTAAATTAAGAGATTCCATACAGAACAGTAAGAATTCAGAGAGGAGAAGCATAGAAAAGCCTGAGTTTGATAAGATGAAAATGAAACCTTCCAGAAGTCATTTCAAAAGATCTATGGCTATTCCAAATACACTTGAAGTGCCGGCTAGAGATAATCCTCCAAAACTGTCAGAACCTACTAATCAGACAGCACAATGTTCATTTTGATCTAAAGCTCCAGTAAATATCTCAATTAATCAATAGGAACAATTTGATGAGTTAAAACAGAAACTAGACGATCTTATCAAAGTACTCACCCCTTAACCTCTAGAATCTCGAAGCTCAAAAGAAGTCAGAAGCAGAACTAAAGACCATAAAATAGCAAAAACTCCCTAATAAACACCAGTAATCCCCATTCTCATCCTTAGCGACCGACCAAGCCATCCCTAAAATCCTATCTTCCCCTCAAAAAACCTTCTCTGTACTCCCTTCCCTAACCCACAGCCCACTCCATCCTACAAGCCAAAACTGCGTTCACGCCCAAAACCCAAATCCTCTTACTCTCGAAGACGCCATAAACGAAATCTCTTCAACAGAAGGACCCAAAACTCCACTCAAATAGCTGCGTTGAAGAACTCGACTCTGCGTCCGCAGAGTCCTTCTTCAATTCCAAGGTTCGAGCCGCTTGGGCTGAAGTGTATTCTGCCCACGACTACATACAAGTTTTAAGGATTTAGAAAATTTTTGGGATTTTTGGGGTTTTGGGGTTTTGGGGTTTTGGGGTTTTGGGG